GGGGGGGGGGACCGAGTATATTAACAGACGCCGACATTGTGCTATTGCGGGAGCAAATATGAGTCCCGTCAACGGTGAAATTGTTCGCGCCGTACCCGGGAGAGAGAATTAGGGCATGACTGTTTATAAAATATTTCATCCAAAATATTTCATTTTGGTTAACTATGGTTAAAGTTGAAAAAGTCGTGTGGTTAATTATTAGTGGGATTTAAAAAATATATTAAAATAATATTTAAAATAAAATGATTAAAATTGATTTGATATAAAGTAGGAGATAAATGATTGGAAATGATCGGTAGTTAAAATTATGTGAGTGGATGAATAGTGAATTAAAGTTGATGTGATGTGTAAGAATGATTGGTTTGTATTATTTAATTATATGAATAATTAAAGATAATGGAGTTGAGTTAATGTTGAGTTAGATTTTGAGTTGAAATTTTATGAGGTGAAATATTTTGTAAACAATCACCCCCTTACTTTCCCTCCTACCGGTTATGTTGGCATTTTTGGCGAAAGTTTGAGGTCGGGGCTGAAGTTTCCTCTCCACAATATGATAACCGATTACGTACGTTACTAGGGGTTGAATTTGTGTCAAATAACCCCGAATAGCTGGAAGAAGATCATCGGATTGATGGTCCTATTGAATGAGAAGGGCTAGGAGTCTTCTTCGCTGGACAATATGAGAAGCATTTATACTTTTAAGAAAAGTCTGAATAGGAAAGTGGTTGGGTCTTTGTTTTTTTTTTGGAGCGGGAAGACCCCAATCAGGATTTAGAATTAATGACTTAATCACCGACGTCCCTGAAACTCTCCACGGTTTCCAAGAGGAATGGCTATGGGTCGGGGGCGATTGAGAATCTGCCAACTTTCTCCATGAGCCCCTCATAGACGGGATGACAATCCCTATGAATATTACTTCTGGATATTGTAAGTTTTGTATAGTGTTTTTAACCTTTCTAATAATTTGTTATTTTGTGTACTAACAGGTTATATCTTTTTCGTATTTGTAGCCAAACGAGCGAAGGAGCCTAAGCTTAGTGCTGAATTTGGAGGCCAACTTCTTAAACTTTTCCAGTTGGATTGTGGGTAACGCAGTTACAAAGTAAGTTCGAGGATTGCCAGGCGTCTCGGATTCTTCTTTTGACCCAGGTTTTGAAGATTTGTGATTCTTTTGTCATAAACTTATCTGGGGCTTTTATTGTCTAAGAAGTATAACGAAACTGTGAACTATGTTATTTGCAGTTTACCACCACTTACTTGGTTATTTCGTCTTTAGCTCCGTTGAAGACGCTAAAGACTACCGTCGTCGGTTCCCAAACAAAGATCTGCAGACTAAATTTGGGAAGGGCCGAACTCAACGCCTAACCGAGATGAGACGCAAGAATTTCGTGAAAGCCTTACTGCAGAGTACTGCGGATCAGAAGACTACTAACGTCGGAGCTGGTGCGACGTCGGTCATTGACGTCGAAAACCCAAGGCCACAACAAGCGATAACATTAGCCTCGGACTTGGCTCCGGCAATCAACACGGATTCCATTAACCAAGCTGAGCCAGAGGTAATTCAAACTGTAGTTCCGCCGATTGTGCATACTATCTCGTCGGCGTCGAAGGATACCAAAGTGCGAGATGAACAGAACTCTCCTCTGAAAGAGCAGCAGAACTCTCCGCCGAGGAAAAGGTTGAGGAAGAGATACATTGAATGTTCTCCTGTTCGTGACGTGGAGAGATCAAAGAATAAACACGATGTGGGACGTCGGGAGAAAGGTAAGAAAGCGGTGACACCTCCGCTTGTCGATAGATCATTTCTCAGAATCGACGAGGAAAGAGCGGCTAATTTCGATTTGCCAGAAGGGATGGTTGAGAGCTGGTATTCCATGTTCCAATCAGTGACGGTCCTTCGGATTACAACTAAGTTCGAGTTGCCCGGGCACGTTGTAGACGCTGCCCGAGTTCCTTTAATGGCATGGGACCCGATGTGGGAAATCGGGGTGTCTGCCATGCCTAGTTCCCACAAGCTCGGATATGCCAAGGCTTGCCTAGGCCACACTCTCATAAGCTTTGTTGCGGCGGAGGACGACTACCGACTTACCCCAGCCCAACTAAACGAGAAGAAAAATACTTTGGAGCTGTGCGGCGGGACCATAACCTCTATGCACATAAATCACAAATACAAATAGACATGTATGGTCACAGCATGAACACGAATCAATCGAATATCCCATCTTTTAATCATCATAATACTCATCTGCACTGTTGATGTCAAAAATCGAACGATCAACTATCAAATATAAGTCGAATTTCTTGTAGAAAATGAAGGAAAATATGATAAAAATGGTGTTTTTATTTTTTGATCTTGAAAGAGTTTCCATCTCTCTTTTGTTAGGAAAAAATAGGAATGAGA